TATCTGGCTGTCTTAAGCTAAATGGTGAGTTACCCACTTGGAATGAATCCACAGCAAAGTTCAAACTGTTGTCCCTCTTGGCCTTTTGAAATGGCTTAAACTGTTTTCCTAGAACTCTGTGGTTCTTTAAGTCGCTGTTGTCTCAGATAGCTGTACCATAGGGTCTGCATTGTGGACTCCGGGCCTTGTTCTGTTATATGCATTATTGGACTTTCAGTTAAATTCCGCTTCTGTGAACAGTGGTGACAAATGCCTCTGTGTATACAGTAATGCCTCGTGGCCTCTGCCAGAATGAGAGAAGGAACTTTGGTGTTACACAATATATAAACATCAGTATAAAGGCTGTCTCATTTTTACATCTCTGAAATGTCCCGTTCTCCAGTTCATAGATTTAATTTTTGCTGTTGGGCAATGCATTGCTGAGGCTCAATGAATAGGTGGGGCATCAACATATATAAAAAGAAAATACTAAGTCCTTCTGTATATGCTTTAAAAATAGATTTTGTTGAATATATGGCTGCTTCAAACTTGTGTTTCATGAGTACTTTCCATAGGTAGTATTGTTCAGGGGCATTTATATAGTGAAGATCATAGTCTGGTTTCAACTAGTATAGAAATCTTTCCCGGTTTGCATCTGTCTCACCCTGCTGAGATTTGTGGAAGATGTGTAGTGTGGTGTTTTTGACTTGGGGAGGTGAATATATACACAAGCAAGCATTTTTATGTTTTGATGGACGTTTTTGAAGAACTGTATCATATATTGTGTGCAACTAGTGCATTAGTTCTATGAGTTATCTTCCTTAGTCTTAGAAGATGCAACTAGGTACACTTGTTCCTGTTACTTAAAAAAAAAAAAACCAAAAAAAAAACAAACCAAAAAAACCCCTTCTTTCTTAGCAGCCTGAAACCAAGCAGCAGATATTTGCAGTAAAACAAAAGTCTTTTGGTGGTATTTGGTTTTTAATTTCCTCCCACATGTATTTCCTTCCTGTCCGCTATGCAAGTTTGCTAAAGATGTCAATGTCTCCAAAACTTAAATACATTAGTTAAGGTAATTGCACATTGAGAAGATATTTGATTATATATATACGCACATACTGCAGTAGTCACACCTGCTGAGGTCTCTGCCACCAATATGGCAGTGATAATTAATCTGGATTGTTTGTATATGAACAAATAACTCAGAAATGTGAATATTTATGGATGTTGATTATAAACTGATGCAGGTGTGAGTCTGCTGTGATAAACTGTGCAGTTGGATTCCCATGTATGTTCTATATTAAAACTTCTAGGTCACCCTGTGATCATGTTTGTATTTGCTTTTACCCCTCCCTTACTCCTACATTTGCTTTCCAGGATTCCAGTTCTTTAGCATCAAAGTCTAGGTATCTTCTAGGTAGTTTCTTTTGGTACTCTTAAAAAAATGTGTATCTGACTGGCCTATCTTTGTCTTTTATTCCTTTATTCTCTGGACATAGAGCTGCTGTCTGAAGTTCCTCTTACGTTGTTCCATAATGCACATACACAATTCAGTTTCTGTATTTCTGTGAAAAAATTGTCCTTGCTGATGTCTCTGTTGCGTTTCTGTCAGCCAGGATTGCTGTCGTACAAGGCAAGGGGAACAGAACAAACTGTGAGTGAAAACCACTGCATTTGAACTGGAGGCAAACTAGAACTTGAGTGTCCTGTATCATGCATCATGACATGATTTGCTGATCAATTTTCTTCTCACTTTTTCCACACTTAGTTTCTCACTGTTTGAATTTGCACCTTGAGTGTTGCTGCATTTGTGTTTATTACAAATAAGGAGTTTTATATTCAAAGATTACTACTGCAGCACTAGCCGCTATCATCTTCCTCCAGTTATGCCTGCTGGGTGTAACATGTTTAAAAAATGAATGGTTCATTATGGGTTAAGTAAAACAGCATTCACATAAAGTATGGTGGCATTTTAACTGGTAATATGCAGAAATAACATCTATCAAGATCAGACGTTAGCACTTTGAAAACCTGCGATGTTCTCTATGGTCTGTAGTCTTGATGCTGGAGTGAAGTGAGGCTGGGGTGTCCCAAAGCTCTGTCTCTGCACTGGCTGGAGAAGAAATGATTCGGAGTCAGGTAGACAGCCTGAGTAAAGGGGCTGTGAGCTGGACAATGAAGACCATTTGATTGGTTGGGGAGGGACATGCAGGGGAGATAACAAACCTGAAAAAGGGGACTGGAATTGTCTGACCAAGGCATTAAAAGTAGCCTTTCCATGGGTGATCACAAGCTGATCCATTTTCCATGCCCATGTCGTTTGGTCTGAACTGTTGCAGTGTTGAGCACTCACTTCTGCATCTTAAGCTGCTGTCACTTGCACTAAGGTTCTGTGTATTATTGCTAAATGACCTGAAGAGTAAAGTCCTTGGTCACTCAAATTGGTTAGGCAAGGTTTGAAGGAAGAGGTAGTCCTCCATGAAAATAACCAGTGTAATTAGGGAAAGGAGATGAGCTTTCAGGCTTTCTTTGGCTTTAAAGTAGAACCAGCAAACCTTAAAAATGAATACAAGCTGAGAACAATTTACATTTTACTTTTCTGTGTATCCATTAGACAACTTCAGAGACAAGATGTACCTGTAGAGAATAAGGGAAGTAGTAGAAGGAGTAATAAGGTGTTATCCCTTAGAAAAAAGGAGGGAGCTAATTCTTGGCCTGTGAGACAGGGAGAGGTTAATGAGGTGAGAGGAGCTGTGCAATAAACCTGTTTCTTTACTGACTTTTGTTTGTAAGTAGGGTTATGACCTTTAGCTTCTTGGCTCATGCTGAAAGGTATCCTTTACGTCTGTCTTGAGGATTGGAGTGAAAGATCAGAGGGGGATAGTGCTTGATTAACTTGATCACTGAAAGCAAAGTTGTTAAAAGTTAAAAAACAACCCCACTGAATGCCTCTGCTTTTTCTTCATCCCTATTAGTCAGGTAACCATCTTCAAGAAGTATTGGTCCAATGTTTTCCTGAGACATCCACTTGCTATTAATATTTTTAAAAAACTCTTCTTGTTATCTGAAACAACACTGGCTAGTTTCAACTCTAGTTCAGCTTTGGCCTTTTGTGTCTTCTCCCTGCGAACCATGACTATGTAATCTTCCTGCGAAGCCTGACCTTGCTTCCGGATACTGTACAACTTCTCTTACCTCCTGAGCTCTACAGGAGTTCCCTGATCAGCCAAGCTGGTCTGCGCCACTTGCTTAACTTACAACACCATGGGATTGCCTGCTTCCGTACTTCTGAAAGGTGGTTGTTTAAAGCTGACCAGTGCTCATGGACCCCTCAGCCCTCAAAAGCAGATTCTAGGGGACACTGCTGAATACCTCCCTGAATAGTTTAAGTTTGCTCTGTTGAAATCCAAGGTAGCAACTCTGTCTTTGTACAAAATAAAACAAAAACACGGGGATGGGATGAAGAAAGAGGGAGGAGAAAGCAGAGTGGTATGCAGTTGCGTAATTAAAAGCCATGTAGCTGCTGCTGACAGTTCAAATATGTTCTGGGATTTCATTTTCCACTCTTTCGTTAAGTGTAGTTTTATTTGTATAATAGTACATAAAAGTAAAATTGTCTAAGACTTACTACATCTTGCCTTAAAACTAAACATTTGAAGTAATATGTGCTTTGACACCTCTTCTGTCAACTTGCCACCTTTTTTTCTTGTGGTTGAGAATTTGATGATTGTGTTCTTTTTCCAATAACTGAAATACCACTTTTGTATGTATTAAAACATAACTAAACCACAGCACCATTTGCAGAGTGATGTATGTTATGTGTATCAAATCTTCGTGGTTGATAGCATATCTCAGCCTCTGTGTATTACTTTCTGTAGAGTGTTATCTTTGTGGTCTTGTTCTCAAGATGTGAAAATTGTTTACTTTCCCTCAGTGTATCACAGAATGAAGTTGGAGCATTTGCTTTGTGAACAAGCAGCAGTCTAGAGCAGGTCAAATATGAGTTACCTGTCACAAAAACTATATTAATAGAATATTATGGATGCCAAACCAGGCACTGAGAAGCTAAGAAGTAACATAAAATCGACTGAATGACCTTTTTTGTCCCCCCGCCCCCCCCCTTCTGAATATCGTGCGACAGCCTTCAATAGTTACAGGATCATGTAATTTTCCTTCCCCTGCAGCTGCTCCCCCAATATCCCTGTCGCTGTTGATGCTTAGAACAGAACCTTGCTATACAAAGAAGCTGTCAATGCTGCTTTTTATTTTTCTGTTGCTTACTACCTTACCTCTAATGTTGTTTACCAAATGTACTTAAATGCTTTCTTGTATGTGGAACTACATTACAGTTTCAGTATTCAAATTCCTTACAAATGTTAGTAGTTTATTATTATCATCACAGCTTCCTAAAAATTACTACTGGAGTGGTAAAAATGGCATTGTCAGAAATTCATGTTTAATCCAGGCTTTCCCCAGCAGGCCTGTTGTCTTTTGGCAAGGCTGAGTCAGGAGACACTAGGATTGAGTAGGGCTCCCCTGGAGCACAGACCCTGATACTGCAGCTTTAATATCCACCCTCTTCCCCCTTCAGTTTCTGATGAGCAAGAAAAATCTACAGGAGCTGGGCTAATCTCCTCTAACTTCATAAATTCGTACGGTCTGTCTTGCTGGTATATCTGTATAATACCAATATAGGGCTATAATCATCACAGCATTATGAACCTGATATGGGCTATCTGTGGACTTGCTTTCGATGGGCATGGGTTATCTGAGGCTCTGGGTTGCAAACAGGAGGAAAGCTGTCTCTGTAGGACAGAAGAATAATAAATCAGCTTGCAGGGCTTATGTGTTCGTACTGCTGACAAACAAGTCCATTGGGGGGGGAGTATTTATGATTTTTGTCTAATTTTTCCAGTCACTTGTAGCATCTTGCCTTTTCCAAATAATTTAGAAATATATTTGGCTGTTCTTATGTTTTACTAGGTCTGTTCATCAGAGTGCAATTCTTTTATTTCTTCTAGTGCCTTCACCAACGCAGATCCAAGTAACATCCGAAAATTTCAAAACTATCTTGCATTGGCAGTACCCACCTATATCTGAAACTCCTCATTTTATTGTGGAGATCAAACCCTACAAGTAAGTTCTTAGTCTTTTGTCATTTCCTGTAACTGATGCTCTCTAGAAGCATATAAAAGCAGTTGGTCCATGGTAAATTCTTTTGTTTCTATGTGGTGAAGTCATGTAGGGTGAAAGTTGCCTAAGTGTAAATTAAGGCAAAATTTGAAAAATAACAGGATGGTTGAGGTTGGCAGGGACCTCTGGAGGTCATCTGGTCCAACCCCCCTGCTTAAACAGGATCACCTAGAGCTGGTTGCCCAGGACCATGTCCAGATGGCTTTTAAATATCTCCAGGGATGGAGACTCCACAACTTCCCTGAGCAACCTGTGCCAGTGCTTGGTCACCCTCACAGATGTTTTGTCACAGGCAGTTGTGGTGGGTTGACTCTGGCTGGATGCCAGGTGCCCACCAAAGCCACTCTCGGTCCCCTCAGCTGGACAGGGGGACAGGCAAGGGGGGTTGCGGTCAGTTCATAACATGTTGTTTCATCTGCTCCTGACTCCTCGTACTCTTCTCGTGCTCCGGTGTGGGATCCCTCCCACAGGATGCAGTCCTTCTGGAACAGACTGCTCCAGCGCGGGTCCCCCACAGGGTCACAAGTCCTGCTAGCAAACCTGCTCTACTGTGGGCTTCTCTCTCCACAGGGCCAAAAATCACGCCAGGAGCCTGCTCCCATGCAGGCTTCCTTTTGGGCACCCGCATGCTCTGGCGTGGGGCTCTCCATTGGCTGCAGGTAGATATCTGCTCCACCATGGACCTCCACAGGCTGCAGGGGAATCTCTGCTCTGGTTCCTGGAGCACCTCCTCCCCTCCTTCTTCACTGACCTTGGTGTCTGCAGAGTTGTTTATCTCACATATTCTCACTCCTCTCTCTTGCTGCAATTGCGCAGGCTTTGGGTTTGTGGGTTTTTTCCCTCCTTCTTAACTATGTTATCCCAGGGGCGCTGCCACCACTGCTGAGTGGCTCAGCCTTGGCCAGCAGCAAGTCCATCTTGGAGCTAGCTGGCATTGGCTCTGTCAGACATAAGGGAACCTTCTCATAGAAGCTACCCCTATAGCCCTTCCCACTACCAAAACCTTGCCACGCAAGCCCAATAAGGCAGTGTATTGTACAATATTGTGCAATTGAAATTGTATTAACTAGTACTTGATCTGTTTTACAGTCCGGGTTCCTATAAGATCGTCTCAACTTGTGTGAACATCTCGGCTAGTTTTTGTGATGTCTCAAGTGAGATAAAAGATCTTTTTGACTCTCACTGGCTTCGAGTTAAAGCTCTTGTTGGGTCACAACAGTCTGAGTATGTTGAGACAAAGGAGTTTATTTTGCGAAAGCATGGTAAGTTCCATCATAAACTAAACCTTGTAGTTTTTTCCAAAATTTAAAAATTTAGTAATTGTCCTTTTCACAGTATTTGTCTCATTTGAGAATATCATAAAGTCAGGACTCCAGGATTAAATGAAGCATGATGGTTGTTCAGTAGGAACTTCTGTAGTTCTCCCTCTGTAGGGACTTGTTAGGGACTGTCACTGTGGTATCTGAATATTGTTTTCAAAACTTCTAAAGGTAAGGAAGTGATGCTGATGGTGCACTCTGTGCATCCTTCCCATATTCTTGCCTGGTGTCCCAGACACCAGTTTAGGGTAGGAGACTGCCATTGGAAGCTGTGGACCTTTAGGCATCATTTAAGTAGCATTCGGGTGGTTGGTGATGCCTTGTTTGACACTATAATCCCACATACTGACAGCTTTGGGTGTCTCGATACTATCTAGAAGCTATAGGAGTCCACTGTAGCTGGATAACTAAGTTACTAATTCTTCATATAAATCCTTGGGCTTTCAGGAGAAAACAGTTTTTCACATCAATGTCTTAAAAGTAAATTGTGCATCTAGACTCCGGGCCAGCCCCCAGCATTGCATGGGCAGTACAAAGCAGACACAACAGAGTAAGGAAAGACTGAGAGATTTCCTCTCCTACTTGCTCCATTCTCAACATACAGCTTTCAGGCAGGACATTGCCCATGAGATTCTCCTTGATTTGGGCTATGCTCTGGATAGAGCTGGATTTCTGCATTGCTGGGGCTGAGGAAGTGGAGTCCCTCTTCATTTTCTGCTATGGTTCCCTCCCCACCCAATACTCCCATGACTTGGAATCACTGGCTGGTTTCTAGTGTTTGACAGAGGCACAGAAGTCATGGTAATAATGCTGAGATTGACAGTTTCCAGAAAATTGGTAACCATGTATGGAGGAGAGAGAACAAATAGTTTTCCCATTGAACAAGAAATTCTTATGTTCAATCTGATCATTAGACTCCAAAAATTCACGTAGGCTGTTGCCACGGGAAATCAGGCCTCGTAACTACTGTTGCTCAAGATGAGATTTGTTTAAATTTTCAGATAGCCTTTTTCTCTGTACAGTATTGTTTTTAGCTGAGTGCAATTTATGGTGGGGTCTGGTCAGCAGTATTTTTGTGTTCTATTCTTCATATATATATGTTTAATTGCTTTGTTAGTTTTTCCAGTTGTCAGTGAGCTGAATTTTTATGGCCTTATGTGTATAGGAAGGCTGGGTTGCTTAACAGTGAAATTCTGCATGGTCATCTGTCTCCATTTTAGAAGCAGATTCATGAACGTATCCAAACACCTCCATTACTTCTAAGTCTCACAGCTGTGCAGTATTAACAGCAGTGAAATAAAATCTCAGATGAATTTTAATCTCAGATGAATTTTGGAAAGTTAACTATAAATAGCATATTTTATGTCAAAAGCTTCAAGGAAAGTTAACTATAAATAGCGTATTTTATGTCAAAAGCTTCAGCCTAATAGCAAAGGTGCAATGTGTTGCAGGAAAAATAGGACCACCAAAACTGAATCTCTCAAGGCATGGTGATAAAATCATGGTTGATATTTACCATCCTGCATTCCCATCTGTGGAGATTCTTCCTTGGATTGAGGGCACTTACTCAGAGCTCATGTACTTCGTGACTTTTTGGGATAGGAAAAATCAGGTAAGTTCCAAAATTAAAACTTCAAATTAAAAATAACTGTTTACCTTAAATGTGTAAACAAGGAGTTTGCTTCTGTGATGTACAGAGCCAACAGATATCAAGAAAACAGTTAAACATAACATAGGACTACTGAAGCCCTAAAATGTCACGTGCATCTCAGTGAGGTATATGACGGGAAGGTCTGGATTTTAGTTGTGCAAATGGATGTTTATAGCAAAAATTAGATTATTGCACTAGCTGTGCACAAGATTGAGTTACTTGATCCCATGCTATTGTTTCTGCATACATGGTGAAACGTTAGTAACTTTACTTGTGCCCCTTTAACTTGTCTAGATAGACCTTTAATTTAAGCAGTTTACCTTTCAAGATATTGATACCGCTTTATTTAGCAGCCATGGAGGGTGAACTTGAGGAAAATAGTAGTAGGTATGTTTACTTACAGTTACCTTTTCATATGTATCCATGGTCAAGTTTTATAAGTGAACTAGGAATGCAAATCTAGACTATGCACAGCACAAACTGTAGCTGAAAGCACTGTGGTCTGATCAAATATAACATCTTAAGGTAGCTCATAACCTGATAGCCAAAGTTCACATCACATTTGCAAGGCATACAGGTGATGTAAGAGCCACATCTAATAGCGTTTTAACGTTTTTGGAAGTGTTGGAAGGTGCTGTAACATTTATGTTGTTGTATTGAGTTGAATGATATAATGTGACTTTCATTTTTTGCAGAGTAAAGAAGAATTCCCTGTAGACAACTGTACAATGTATAAATGTAGCGTCAACATCCCAGTTTCCACTGAAGGTTCCACTTACTGTGTTTCAGCGAGGGCAAATTTCTATCGCGATCTGATGGTTGGTGCCCCATCAGAAGAAGGCTGCATTCATGTTCCTCTCAAACAGACATTGAGTAAGAGGATTTTAAAACTTTTGTAAGAACATACTGAGTCTGACCAGAGATCTGTTCGAGCTAAGTATTCGAGTTCTGATGTAACCATGGGTTGACTTGGATGCCTATGGGAGAATACGCAAAAAGGGAAACTATAGTCATTCTTTTCCAAATGCACTTTCCAAGTTCTAAAGACATTTAAAGGTCATGTGTTATTTTCAAGTAATCCTGACTTTTTTTGGGGTGGTTTTCGTGCTTCGCTGGTATTACAAAACCTATTTCCATTGCATCTGATTATTGTTGTAATTAACAAATGACAAGTGGATCATTCACTGAGTAACATGGTTTTCAGAAGCATTTTCTCTTTGTTCTAACAAATGGCTTTTTTCTCAGCCTCATCACTGAGGAAAATGTGTATAGACTTTCTTGAGTTTGAAGCAACTATAAACTTGTGGTCATAATATTGAGGTATTGATGTCTCTTTCTTAACTAAAGACAAAAAAGGCAGCTAGTGACCCAACTTTATATCTCTGATAACCTCTTACAAACTACTTAATGTTACTTCATTATAGCCCAAAACTACAATAGAGAAAAGAGATAGATAGAAGCAGTTGTGTTCATTCTTTTATGTACAAGAGCAGTGGTATGATTGAGGGGGAGAACATTAAGCAGAGTCAGACTAGTGGAATCGTACAAGTAATAGTTAACAACTGTATGTTTTGGAAGATTTCACATTTTAATTTTATTATATGTAGACTATATGTAATTATTATGTCAGTTAATATGCTGTCATATGGAAAACATGCAAATCTGTTCATCCCCGTCTGTCATCTCTAAGGAACAAAAAATTAGTTATATAATTCCTTTACCTCTATAAAACCTGATTGTGTTTATATAAATTGAAAATCTTCTGTATTCTAATTTTTATTCACTTGATATAATGCTTTATGAATTAAGTTTTCTTGAGTGAAAAAAGCTGGTAATTTGACAAATTTACACATTACAGCTAAACATTCTGAGGTACTACAGTTTTTGCAGTTATTCTAAAGTGATACAGCAGTGGTTTATTTTTTCCAAACTTCCTAACAATTTTACTGTAACTTCTTAGGCACGCAATATATCATCATTCCGTGTGCTGTTATTCTGAGCCTGAGTCTAATGTTGACAGTATGTTTTGGCTGCAAGAAACTAAGAAAGGAGAACATAAAGCTGCCTAAGTCTTTGGTAAGTTGAGACTTCTTATCTGCATCAGATTTTTAATAGCCAGCTAGGTAACTCTTATAACTATAACATCTTTATGCCTGTCTCTTTTTTTTTTTTTATTTTTTACTATGGTCTCGTAGATGTTTAGGATTTATACCAGTCTAATGTTCTGACAGCTTCTGCAACCCGATGCCTTGTATTTGTTTTAGGGCTAGACTTCAGTCTCTTTTCAACTGAACTAGCAGTAGTTGGCCTAGTTTGAGAGCTTAGTTCTCAAAAACTCAATGTGTGTATACATGGACAGGTTTGTATTCATTCTAGTAGCAGAGACACAGAACCACACAATCACTGAGGTTAGAAGAGACTTTTTGAGATCATTTAGTCCAACCCTATTGCTCAAGCGGTGTCAGCGAGAGCAGGTTGCCCAGGGCTTTGTCCAGTTAGGTTTTGAATATCTCCAGGGAAGGAGATTCCACAACTGCTCTGAGTAACCTATTCCAGTGTTTAACCGCCCTCACAGTAAAAATTTTCTTATGTTCAGATAAAATTCCATGTGTTTCAGTTTGTGCCCGTTTCCTCTTGTACTGTTGTTGAACGAACACCTGTGAGATTCCTTTTTTTAGGTGGTAATTCTGTGATACTTCTAAGTGCTACAATGTTCTTAAAGTGATGCGCAGAGTAAGGGGAAGGTGGGAGTAATAGTGCTGTAGGAAGAGGGAAGAACAGCTAAGAGGAAATCTGTTCTCACACTGAGCAGTCACAAGGAAGAGAGGTCAGCAGCTGCTGTACCTTAAAAGCTCTCCGTAGCCATCCTTAGGAAACCAAGTGGATGTTCCTTAAAGAGCAGCAGCAGCACTCCTTGCTTTCACATGAGACAAGAGGCAGAGTATCTGACAGGTACTGTTGTAGTGTCCTCCTGGTGTCTCCTTAGTCACAGCAACTGAACAATCAGTAGCAGTTGAAACAGCTTTCAAGAACTGCCATGTGAGGCAGTAGTAAATAGTAATCCTATCAAGAGTGTATCTTCTCAGCAGGTGCAGTAAATCTCATAAGACTTCTAGAGGGAAGAGGCAGTGATCTTCCATTCCGTGTTCTTCAACTTCAAAACCCTTTAAAGTGACTGCTTCATAGTGCAGGGCTAGCTGAAAGCCTAAGATCCCCCTGGAGCCTTCTTTGTTTGGAATAGAATATTGGGAGGTGAGATAGCTCAAAGTGGAGATATCCAAGCCAGTGATGCTAGCTAGGTCCCTTTGTAGTAAGTAGTAATCTAGTCCATCAACTTGTGCAGCACAAGGTGGTTAATCTCATTCTAAAATAATATGCGCTTCTGGTTAGACAAAACACACTGCCTACTTCTTTCTGTGGACTGTGGCAGAGCTGTGACACTAGTTCAGAGATAGCCATTCACACTATAGACTTTAAAAAATCAGATGAGAGAAACCTGTCTGATGGAATTTGCAACTATACTCCAGTATGAAAGCACAGAGGCCTGTAGAAAAAGTAGAAAACTGAGATTTTTTTTTTTTTTTCACCTTCACACCAGTATGTAACTGTCTGAATTTGTAACATTATATCCTACATAGATATAGAGTGATTTTTGTGAAGACTGTTCATTATAGCAAAAGGCAGCTCATCCAGCATGACAGTGCTATACTCAATGGATCCGTAGTTATTTTGGCTTCCCAGTACCACTGTGGTATTGCATCTAAGGGATCAAGAAAAAGAATACCGCACAAATAGAATGTGTGCTTCTTAACTCCTGTGAGCTTCCTGATGTGTGCTCCAAATTCACACTTTAACTCACCTTGTAGAAACTCATTTGTGTGCCCATATTCTCAATATACTGCGTTATATATTGTCTTGTGATTCCTAGCCTCCAGTGTACCACAGTCTGGTTCATATTCCATGTCATACTTTCTTGCTAAGGAGCTGAATGAAACCTATAACTATTTATGAAGATTGTTACTGGGGTGATCAAGTGCTGAGACAAGTTCCCCAGGGAAGCGGTGATGCCCCCGAGCCTGTCAATGTTCAAGAAGCATTTGGACCATGCTCTTAGATGTATGGTTTAACTTCTGGGTTGCCCTGTGTGGAGTCAGGAGTTGGACTCTATGGTCCTTGTGGGTTCCTTTTAACTCAGCGTATTCTGTGATTGAAGTCTCTAGTGACAAATATAAATTGCAAAGCTCATAAGGATAGTCTCAATACAGGTGATACGAATAATGTGCAAATGTAAAATGAATAATTAACTTATGATTACTTATTGATTAGTTTTATAATTACTCATTTTAAGTAATTAATAACAATGTAAATAATTAATATTTATAATGACTTCATATCATTAAACTTATACCTGTAGACTTCTTGAAGCTAAGGGCCTGTTATTGTCCTTTGAATGTGTACTAGACTTCTGTAAAGGTTATGGCCATTGTGCTTTACCTGACCCTGTCTGAAAATGAAACATCTAGGGAGTTTTTCCATCTGTTAAAAGGCTGGGCAATGTGTCCTATCTTAGGACTGCTACCTTCCGATGATCTGCTTGCTGGCAGCTTTAAGTAGATGCTAAAACATCATTTGAGTGAGTTTCAGCAAGTTAGAATTCTGCAACAGAAGGAAAAATAAGAAAGAGTAACCATCAAGCAGCTGCCTTTAAGAGTCCTGTGTGCCCAAAGAAAAGGGGAGGTGAGGGGGAAAATCCATTGCATTTAGATCTCAAGAACTCTTATATTTTCTGCGAATAATGTGACATGAATAACATGTCAGTCATGTACAGGCCCTACTTCCATAGTACAACTTACTGTACAACTATGAAGGATTGCCTTCATTAGAGAAAATGTTCATTTACTTGTTTTAAACATCCTTACTCACGGTAGGATCCTACCATGAATATGCATCTAGTGAAATGGGTCAGATTCCTTTATAAGACTTAATCATGCTAGTCTTTTGCTGGATCACAGGAATCTGATGTTTCAGCAGTCTGGCTGTAGTTAAGAGCCATTCATTTTCTTTGATTTATCTCACAAAAAGTATTTCAAGAGGCTGTCTTCTTCCACCCACCATCTTCAGTCTCTCCAGTTCGCCCTGTGCATGATTTGTCCTGTACTAGATTTTTGTTGTAAGATTTGTGAAAAGGGCTTATCCACTTTAAAAGGAGCCTAGCCTTGATTTACTGGTACGCTGTGGGCATCTCCCTCTGCTTTAACTTCACTGTCTTTTTTTTGTTTGTTTGTTTTTTCCCCCAATGCCTCTTATCTTTAAATGCTGGCAGATATTTTGGTGGGTAGAAAACACCCAGTCTGTAAGGGAAAGACTTATTGAAAAGCATCAGTTTTCATTTGTAGCTCATGCTTAAGTCAACTTTTCTGAGATCCCTGGTGCTTTTTCTGAGCCTGACAGCAACGACAAGGCTGTGTTCTCTCACTGTGTTTGTAGAACACTTACAGATATTCAGGAAACAAGAATTTTCTTTGACTCTGGCTTTTTTGGTTATACAACATATCTTTTTGATTTGGAGAAATTGTAATTGTTCCTGTAAATTTTGACTGATACTTGCTACAAATAATTATCTTAAATGAGACAAGCTGCTTCATTAGCTTTTGTGAAGATTTTTTTTTTTTCCTGTGATCGTCTGCAGGGGGGTAACATAACATCCTATTTATACATTTACACAGCATTAATTTGTTGTGGAACTGTGCAAAGGCCATGCAGATTTTCTAAAGGTCCTAATAATATCTGCAATAGACTTCTCAAACTTTTCTTCAGAAAATTCACACCTGAAAATTACTGGGAATTCGAAGGTGGACAAGCCCCTAGAAAAGAAAGTTAAGAAAAAAAATGTTGGTTACCTTAACTATTACAGATTTCTTGATGTTATTTATATGTATCCTTGAGCCTGGCTTCCACTGGCGTATGTGCCCAGTCTGTTGAAACAGTGAAAGGCCTGAAAGCGCAAGTGCAGTCATTGGAGACAGGAAGATAACTGAGCACCTGCATATGCCAGGAAATACTGCTGACATCCAGCTTAAGCTCATGGGCTGTCAGTTTGCTAGTATTAGATAAAGTGCACGAAAGAAAAATATTAACTTACCTACGGTAAATGCTTTTCTTCAAATAACAACCATATCTTAATTACTCTTGTTACTTGAGATGCTTTGAATGGCATTCCAGTTAGTGTATTAAGCTGTAGTTCTTCTCTTTGAGGCTAGAAATAACTGCATGAATTGCTAAATTGTTTTGTAGTTATGACTCAGTGACTCTTAAAGAACCTTTGATACCAGGAAACCCATGAGTTTTTCCTTCAGATGGCTTCCTTCTTTCATGGATGGGAATAGAAGTGTCTTGGCACCATCTTGCTGTGGTCAAAAACTCAGCATGAGAAAAACGGGTTTCCTTTTCAAAGAGTAAGTCTTGGATGTAGTTGTATAGAGGGTACTTATTTTATCCTTGGGATCTGTAAGCGTTCCCAGCTGGCACTGTGAAATGCAGAACCTGTGTAGAGTACAAGGTGTTCCTTTAACACATTTTAGCACTATGAATTTTAGAGCCATGTGAAAATCCTAAAAGGACAGAAAAAAGATCTTTTTGGTTTATGGTTTTAACTTTAGCATAGCGTGTACTAATGTGGGGAGAGATGGGAAGATGTAAATACAGCTTTTAGCTGTAGCTTCTATAGCATTTTGTTTTAATTCACAATCCTCAAGTATTCCAGCTTACACAGGGAATTTTACTCTCTTGTCTTACTGTGTGACTATTGGAGTCAGATTTTTGCTACCCTCAAAAATTTACAGATGCTGATTACTTCAAGGTCAGTGTCAGTATAGAACAAGTATCCAATAATTTTTCATATATCTATAGAAACAGGTTTTCAAAAGGTATATTAATCCTACCATCTATTCATAACATTTTCACTATCTACAAATTATTGTATTCCAGTTTCTGCAACTATCTTTTAAGCATTTGCTTCTTATGAATGGGTGATTTTCTGGTAAGACCCCACCTGGAGTACTGCATCCAGCTCTGGAGCCCCCAACATAGGAAAGACATGGACCTATTGGAGCAGGTCCAGAGGGAGGCTACAAAGATGATCCGAGGGCTGCAGCACCTCTCCTATGAGGAGAGGCTGAGAGAGTTGGGGTTGTTCAGTCTGGAGAAGAGAAGGCTCTGGGGAGACCTTATAGTGGCCTTCCAGTACCTAAAGGAGAGCTGGGGAAGGACTTTTTACAAGGGTATGTAGTGATAGGACAAGGGGGAATGGCTTTAAACTGGAAGAGGGCAGGTTTAGATTAAGAAGAAAATTTCACTCTGAGGGTGGTGAGACACTGGAATGAGTAGCCCAGGAAAGTTGTGGAAGCCTCAGCGCTCCATTGGTCAAGGCCAGGCTGGATGGGGCTTTGAGCAACCTGGTCTAGTGGGAGGTGTCCCTGCCTACGGCAGGGGGATTGGAACTCGACGATCTTCAAGGTCCCTTCCAACCTAAACCATTCTATGATTCTATACTCACAGAAAATACTCTAAACAGTCTTTATACAGTATTCTGACTGTTCCCACAGAACAGAAAATGAACATCCAGAGAGAATGATGGCTGAATGGCAGCTAGGTTGTAGTGTGGTATATTCTCAGTGCCAGGAGCCACCTTAATGCTCTTTTTACTAGTTTTCCAGTGGCAAATCTCCATTCCCAAGGGGATCACCTCACCTTAGTGGTGCTAACTCAACTGTTTGTAAAACTCACTTAGATTACAAATAACTTGTACCATCAACAGCTATCAGAGCAACTGAGGGGAAAGGTCTGGGGCTGAAGTGAGAGGTGAAGGCAAGTTCTTCACAGCACACTGTGAAGGTATGAGTGTAAAGGTACAGCCTCACGACCTTCTGATTAAGGAAGATTCTTGAAAAGCATGGTCAGATTTGATTGTCTGGTTTTGATGGCACTCTCAGTTCTTACACTAATATAAACTGGGAGGTTCTTGTTGCTTATTTGTAGCTTTTCTTAAACAACATCCCTTTTTTCCTCCTACCTACATCCCTTTCTTCCAATTTGCCTCAACCTGTATTTTCAGTTAGATTATTTTTTTTACAAAGTATCTCAAAAAACAGTGATTGTGTGTTGCTCTGAGACGTGCTGGCTACACTGCAGCACACTTGCCTTGCAGAGATGAGCCAGGGGATCCTGAGGTAGTCCCTTCATCCCCCAACCTGTATTGATACTGGGGTTTGCCCTGACCCAGGGGCAGGACTCATGTTGAACCTCATGTGGTTCACACAGGCCTGTTTCTCGAGCTTGTCCAGGTCCTTCTGGATGGCATCCCATCCCTCAGGCCTGTCAACCGCACCACTCAGCTTGGTAAGAGTGCACTCAATCCAACTGTCTATATCTTTGACGAAGATATTAAAGAGTACTGGTCCTAATACGAACCCCTGAGGGACACCACTTGTCACCTATCTCTATCTGGACATTGAGCTGCTGACCATCCAAGCAATTCCTCATCCACCGAACAGTCCACCCATCAGGTCCATACCTCTCTAATTGAGAGAGAAGGATGTTGTGGGGGACCATGTCATAAAAATGGGAAAAATGGTAGTACTTTTCAACCTGCTAGAAAACATGTTTAGAAGAAGTCCTGTTGATTTCCTATTTAAAAAAACCATACTGTTCTAAGAATTAGGATTTTAAAAAGCTCTGGAGGAAAGCAGAATTTTGAACCCAAACTGTTCTATGATCTTATGATTTTATTAAGAAATTAGCTTATCTATGGTACTTGATAGTCTGTGATACACATATATAATGAATTATGAAATTTTCTCCCTATGCTTTCTGTTAGCTTTAGGGAACACCATCATGCCTCTGGAAATTAACCCTACTTGTTTTTTTGTATGTATTCTTGAAAACACTTTTAAAAAAAAAAAAAAAAGACTAAATCAGAAGAATCTGAACAGCCTGAAGGCATGTCATAGTCCTTTAAAAAAAGCTGGAGCCTGGCTATTGTAGGAATTAATATGCTCTTCCTGTGGAGGGGTTTCAAAGTAAAACATTAAAGTTTGTTGCAGCATCGAGGGAGTGCTTAGTAACACAGGAGAAATAACTAGGAAGACTTCAGCATAGATAAGACTATTGGGTATGCATAAAGGTTCTCATGACATTTTAAAGATCTCTTACCCAGGTTCACTTCTCTCCCAGTTGAGACAGTTGCCACAAAATATTACAGTCATTGCAAGTTACTCTCATTAGCTACAGAGTATGAAAGATTTCCCCAGCTAGCTGAAGAATACTACAGCTTTCTCTTCCTTTGCTGTTTTCTTCCACATTGAAAACTTCAAATGACTTAAAATAGAATGGGTGACATGAAATGGATTTGGTCCTTGCAAATGTGTTTGCACATAGAAAGCATTTTTGAGAGCTTGCATAAAAGTGTTATGAAACATTTGAAGTCTTAGATGTAGGCTAATGATCCTGCCAGATTCTAATTTTGCTAACTTTTGTTTGGATTGGTTGTAATCACATTGATTTTATATTATAAACTTGTATCTTCTTATTTTTTAACCTCTAAACTTTGACAGAAGATAAAGCCAATAAGTTAGTAGATTATATGAAACTAAAAGTGATCTTTTCTTTTTTTTTTTTTTCCATTTAAGGTCAGTGTGATAAGAAACCTGAACACAGACAGCATTCTAGAATCAAAATCGGAAGCAAAATACGTGTCTGTAATAAGCTTCATGCCAAGCCAGTCATCATTGCCAGTGAATAATGATGAAGTAACCTCGCTGGAGGTAGAGCCACAAGAAGAAACTGTTAGTTGTGAGAATTCCAGTGAAGGAGCATCTTTTGTTCCTCCCCGTGAGGCACCAGCCAAAGCAGAAGAGGTGTCTGTGCAGGAAAGCACAGAGGAGGTATATTCTGACGATGAGCAGAATCACAAAGTAAAGGAGAGTTACTTCACTTCTGATGGTAGCCAAATGGATATATGCAGTAACTCTTCAGGTTCAGAGGTTCCTGACACAGAAATGCAACAGACAGTTATTTCAAGCAGCTGTCTCAAGTTTTCTGGCTATGACAAGCCTCATGTTCCATTAGATTTGTTGATAGATGTTGGTGAAGAACAGCCTGTGATTGCTTACAGGCCGACTGACTAACAAGGATAGCTGAAGTGTTTAACCAGAAGTCAGGAAGAACAGCATTACTGAAGATTATGGAAAGTCTGGGTTATATTAGGAACATTTACAAGTTGTACTTGTTGTAATCCAACCAGAGTAACCAGTACACAACTTAGTACAGTGGGACCCTGAAATGGGACTGAAAGTAGTGCCTGAGAACAGTATAAAAAGTGGGGGGAAATTTCATAAGTACTTTTAGAAGTGTTTGTGTATATGATGTAACTTACTATTTCCTATTTGAAATAGGGCTGTCTTTTTAACAGTAGTCTATGGAGAACGGACTTCATGAAGGAGTATAAAATAGCAGATATATCATTATTCCCTTCTGTTTCAAATCCTTTTCAAAATTAATTTAGTGAATGTAATGCTTAAGAAGTCCTTCACTTGGTTGCAATAGAGACATGCAAGAAAAAATTGAGAGTTTTTGCCTTTGTTGGAGGTATTCTTGTTTTTTTTTCTCTTGAAGAGTATTTTTGTATTAAATGAAATGCTACTGTTTCTTTTAAGTAAGAATATGCCTATAACCTTTTTGTGTATATCTTAAGAATTTTATTCCATGGCCAAGAACCGTTATTTGTAGTCTCTTCTGCAACTGGAAGCAGGTGCTTTCAGGACCATTACTTTGTACATTTCAGTGAGTAAATGATGGACTTCTTCCTTTGTAACGTAAGTCTTGTAACTAAAAAAGCTGTTTTAAAAAGTGCTGTTATTTGTGTATAGCTGCATCCATTTGGATCACCTAGTGAGGTTGTGTAGCCATGTCACATTCTAGATAACTCCTGTATTAACATGCTGGCTGATTTGTCATTGGGGGGAAAAAAACTGTAATGGGTGGTTGTACAAATTCTTTAGAAAATGTTTTCAAAATTCAAAATCCTGCTTTCCTCCAGAGCTTTTTAAAATCCTAAATGTTTTTTTAATAGGAAATCTACAGGACTTCTTCCAAACGTGTTTTCTAACAGGTTGAAAATTACTACCGTTTTTCCCCTGTTTATGACATAACTCAGGGACTACACCAAGTTACCTCCCTCTAAAAATGTATCTCAAGACAATAGAAAAGTAGTGTGGTAAGTTGTGGTTCATAAGTTACTGTCATCTGACAGCCCTCTGAATTTTGTAGCGTGACATTGTAGTTTTGAAAAGTGAAGGATGAGGATTTTTTTATATTTAAAAACTTTTGAGTCTAATGCCTGCAATCTTTAGTCAAGATTTGATGGGTATTTTCTGGTTTGGGGAAATGTTAACAATAGTTCTTAATGAAGCTTAGTTCAGAAAAAAAGACGGTTTTACAGACACAAAGTGATGTATTTATATAAAATTATGTCTTTGTTTTAAAAGGTATTTTTGTTAGGATTATCAGAAATGTTTGCCTGTTATAGTGGGTGGTTTTAAAGGAAAAGCAGTATCCTAGTACTTCTGGCCTTAAATTTCTCAATGGAATGAGTATTCCTAAAATAAAGTTAGTTTTTTACAGCTGCTTCCATTGCTGCAGTTATCAGACAATAACCACAATGGTACATACCCAATTTCCCAAATATTTAAAGACAACAGCTATTTTTCCTGTGTCTACTCATGGGAAGATAACAGACCTCTTAGCAGGGTTTTGATAATTTTAGGAAAAGCCAAGTCAAACAGTTGAATTCTGTAGTTATGGTGTAGTGGAAAGCCCAACGAGAAAGATTTCAGTATGTATTAGCCAGCTTTGATTTATTTCTGCATTACGTTCAACTGTAGTGAGACTCCCTAGTAACTTTTTCAATGTCATGTTCTGGATTGAGTTCCTGGAAGGCAATGCTGGTGACTTAGTGCTTAGGAACCACTAGCGTGTAGATATTTCCATTGCAGAAGAGCAGAAAAGAACTCTTTTGGTGTTCAGCTTTGAAAATCAGAATTAACTTGCACTCGAAACTTCAACTAAACTGTCTTTTCAGTTAATAATGGGGTTCACCACTGAAGCGTGCTTTTAGCAGTCCGTCTACTAGAGAGATGAGCGGCTGTATCTTGTGCAGAGCTTGAAGTTGATGTCATTTCTTTCACATTTTGTTGAGAAATACAAATGACAATAAATACCTCAGGACTTTATAAATGTCAGGCAAGTATTTAAGTTAAGCTTGGCTCAGAAGGGAGAAATAGGGCATTAGAAACTGTGAGGTTAGCTTGTTTTTTTTGGGAAGAAGTTTGCAGTCAGACTATTTGCAGAGTATCTTCTTTGCTACTGCTCTGTGTTTTTCATCTTCTTGCAATTGGTAGCTTGTATTGCTTCTGTCAGTTTCGTCCAAAAAAAAGTTGCTGTTCTCCAAGAAGAACTGGAATTAGCCATAGTAGCCATTACATTCAGTATGTCTACCTGAAAACTGTACTGTCAGAAGTATGTAATTTCTTGGAAGTGTTATGTTTACATTCTTAACAATGCATGTTAAAAACCTGGCTCTGTTAGGAAAATTATTAACCAAATTTGTGTGAATGTAAGAGATCATTAGGCGTTTCCTGTTCTGGAAGGTTTTCCTTTGCTGCCACACTGGAAGAGGAATGATATTTTTTGCCTGTGTGAGGGCAGATAGATGCATTTTAAAACCAAGTGACTGTGACAGATTGTTTTTCTCTTCCCCTGCAATACTACTACACTGTACATTGTCCTGAATTGATTTCAAGTCACATGGAGTCCTGTGTAAGTAAAAGGGACGAGCCGGGTGCTAGGATATAATAAGGACAAAGGATGTTAATATTGATCAGAAATGACACAGAAATATATCATGAGCGTATGGGAAAAATTTGGCACAGTGGGTAGTTACGTATAATGGAAAGGCACTGTTATTCTATAAGCTGAAAATCAAGTACAGGCATATGAGTGCTTTGTGCTATATAACATACATTGATAAAGAAGTTTAAGGGTGTGCAAAGCGCCAGTTTCTCTTATTAGCTGTCACTAGCTGAAAACGTGAGGCCACAGTGAGAGAAGAATATGTTCCCTGGGTCAATAAGCTCTGTTTCTCTCTGTGGTAAGAGAGAGCCTAAAAACGGTGCATGTCCATGATGGTACTCCTGCTAGGATCCAGTTCAGCAGCCTGCAGTGTGAGAACTTCTTGGGACAGGGAACAGGGAAATGCCTTACCAGCTACAGCTAGTTAGCTTTGCTTTTGCAGTACTGTAGTACCAAGTATCTGAGCCATGTGGTTTGGAAGGTGTTAGGTGGTATTTATCAATGCATTTTCACTTAACTTCTAAATTAGTTTAAATTAATAAATTAATATTCTTCAGATGAAGTAGTTTGTTTAAGCTTGTGGATATTCATGTGTAGCACCTTGACACAAGATATCAGTGCCTAAGATTTACAGGTTCAAAATCATTTCATATTCATGCCTTTTACAGACATAACAGGTTCGAAGAACTTCTTTAGTTCTTGTCTTTGCACAGGCATCTTAAGTTTTTATTATGAGATCAGCAATTAACAATGAAGTTTTGTGGTAATATTGCAGGCTTGCACAGAAGCATCAGATGTTCTGCTTTTATGTTTTTTCCACATAAATCAATAATGTCGTTTCCACAAATGTCAGTGTATTTGATAAGAATTATTTTTTTAAAATACATCTTGTAGTGTCTCAGTTGCTTAGAACAGACATGAATATTTGTATGTAGTCCTTCAGTAGTTAAGATTGAAGGAGAAGAAACTTGCATGAGAAGAGCTGTTTTTCTCAAGGTTAGAAATAACCAGTTGCTCTGAAGTGGTGCCATGTAAACAGTTTAGTATTAATAAATAAGAGTTATTGTACTTGGTTCAAATGAATAGCTTCAGCATGTCTTAAAAAAACAAACCAAAAAAACCCCAAACAACAAACCAAACACAAAGCACCTTTCATCTTATAAAAAAAGTGACCTGCACAGATTTCATTAGTGTGGCTTTAAAAAAAAATCAGTCCTTTAACTATGAAGCCCTTGTTTATTAATACACTTTCTATATTTTCCAAATGGATGCAATCATTGGGCTAGGTTGGACCTCCAAGGGGCTGTGGTTCATTCTTCTCCCCAGAACTGCATCATTCCTCCTACGCATTTGTCTAAAGACTACATGGCCCCATCAGGCAATTTATTCTAGCAGTTCTTTACCCCAGGAAAGTATTTCCTAATGTCTAATACAAGTCTTCATGGCTTTAAAATCTTAATTATCCACAATGGGCAGGCTGAACATACTTTGGGTTTTGTCTGAAATATGTAACTAAACTACTTGTAAATACTGTAAATTTTAAGTGTTTTTACATTTAATTAAAAAAATCTGACAAATGTGTGCATGCCTCTTTCTTACTGTAAGCTTTTCTACTGAAGACGAAATCTGCTTTTGAAGTTTGCTCAGCTCACATGTATGTAGTGTGTATGCTTGAACATTATTGAAAATGAATAGAAAACTATGGGAGATAAGTATAGCATGTGTGTGTGTAATTATATGTAGCCAGTTACTGAATTCTACTTACCAGATGAATTAGCATGTAAAACAATTAGTTTTAAACTAAGGCTATTTCTCGTTTGTCGAGATATCCTTTGGGTGAAACAGCACTCCCTCCAGGCAGTAGTAGAAGTCTGACTTTGAGGATGTGATTTACATCCTTTTGTTTTGAAAGAGGTTTGTCTCCTGTACAGATGGGAGGTGGTGCCTTTGCTGTACTCCGGTAGTTGATCTTGGAGAAGGATGAGGGCTGACACATGGGGGCTCTTCATGATACACTCATTCTGGCTCCATCATCAGCTTTGCAATTTCTTTTTTGCCCTTTGACGCTATTGATGCAGCCTGCAGTAACTTCAGTCCAGTTCTATTGCTTGAGCCTGGGGACTCTCCTTATGTTCTACTTAAAAACTACAGGTCAGTTTTTTATTAACTCATTATGAATTACAGTCAAACCAGTTTTCTTTCCTGAGCTTTTGGGCATTTTAATCTCATTTGAACTCACCTGTCACCCTTATGTTTTCTAACTGGCTCATTTGTGTAA